TGGGGCCGTGGCCGTGGGGCGCACACGGGGCCGTGGGGCGCGCACGGCCCCGCCCCGCCTCCACTCTGCGTTTCCCGGCAGTCCCCTCCCTGCCCCTCCTCCCCGGCCTCTGCGGGAGGGCAGCCTGGAGGGGCGGGGCCTGCGGGGTCCGGAGGGCGGTAAACTTCGGAGCTTGTGACAGGAATTCCCTGAGAAGACGACGACGACGCGCTGCGCCCGCAAAGCATTGAAGTGCTGGGGGAGGGCCACTGCCAGGAGACACCGGCTGCCGCTGGAGGCTGGGTAGGGAGAGAGTGCTGTCCGGGTAGCTGTGGGGAGCCGGCCAAGGGCCAGCAAAGGTCCGGGCAGGGCCTGGTGTGGATTTTCACATCCAGGTCTGCAGGGGGAGGGCTGGTGTGGATCTTCATGTCCAGGTCTGCAGGGGGCTGGGGGGGGGCTGGTGTGGATCTTCATGTCCAGGTCTGGGGGGGGGAGGGCTGGTGTGGATCTTCATGTCCAGGTCTGCAGGGGGCTGGGGGGGGGCTGGTGTGGATCTTCATGTCCAGGTCTGGGGGGGGGAGGGCTGGTGTGGATCTTCATGTCCAGGTCTGCAGGGGGCTGGGGGGGGGCTGGTGTGGATCTTCATGTCCAGGTCTGGGGGGGGGAGGGCTGGTGTGGATCTTCATGTCCAGGTCTGGGGGGGGGGGGGCTGGTGTGGATCTTCATGTCCAGGTCTACAGCCCATCTTCAGGCCGTGGAATCGAGTGTGCCTTGATGGTAGTCCTAGTCAGAACCAACTGTTCTTTGCTAGGCCAACTTCATTCTGAGTGCTCAGGGCTGTGTGTGTGTGCGCCAACTTCATTCTGAGTGCTCAGGGCGGTGTGTGTATGGGTGAGACATTTCAGCACAGAGGAAGTAGCTGTTCCCTCTCCCCATCCAGGCCCGGCAGTACACACACACACACACCCGTGTCTCCGCACACAGGTGGAGGACAGGCCTTTCTGAGGGGAGGCAGTTGTCCTGGGCCGCGCTGGTTGTGGTGGGCGTAGGAGAGTCTGGAGCTGCTGGCCCGCGTCCTTCCCGCAGCCCCGTCTCCCCTGCTCCGCTCCACTCACTTTCTCTCCTCTTTGTTTTTGCAAACTTTTCCTTCCTTTCTGACTGAGCTGTCCTGGGCCTCCTTCCAGGTCCTGAACACAGATAAACAAGGCCTTGGCCTGGGGCAGAGCATGAGCCCCAGCTGGGCTGGCAGCTCAGGGGCTAAGGGTGGAGATACAAATGGCAGCTGCAGCGTCCAAGGGCGGGTGGCCCAGGCTGCCTGCCCCCTGGGCTCCTCTGCTCCAGCCAGCAGCCAGAGCTGGGACGTTCGCTGCCCCTGCTTGCCTCAGTGGGTGGCTTCCCCTTCTCAGCCCCCCCCCCAGAGGAGTGGGGCCCCGAAGGCCTGGGCCTGAGTCCCTGGAGCGCAGCGCTCTGCCTAGAGCTTCCCTACCGGAGCCTCAGGGCCTGGGCCTGGGCCTGGCTGCTAGCACCTGCCTTGTGGGCCTTTGTTCTGGAAAAGTCCCTGGGTATCCAGCCAAGGGCCAAGGCCTTTTGCTGAGTCATGGTTCTCTGGCATTGCCTGTGGTTTGGGGGTGTTTGTGACTCTGGGGTAACTCTTGCAGGCTGGAGGGTGGCCTTGCCCACCTGGTTCGGGTGCAGACCCTGCGGCTCTCTCCTCGGGGTCGCCCTGGGCCACTCTTGCTGCCTGTGCTCCTCCTGTTCCTGCAGCCGCCCACCTGTCCTCGGCTTCTTTGCTCTTGTTGGTCACGGGGCTTAAACTCAGGGCCTGGGCGCCATGCCTGAGCTTTTTCACTCAAAGGAGGTGTTCTAGAGCTACACCATCACGGACTTTCCTGCACAAGCTGGCTTCAAATCACAATCTTCTGATCTCAGTCTCCCCGATAGCTAGGATTACAGGTGTGAGCCAGCAGTGCCCGGCTGCTTTTTTTTTTTTTGCCAGTCCTGGGGCTTGAACTCAGGGCCTGGAGTTCTTGAACTTCTTTTTGCTCAAGGCTAGCGCTCTCCCACTTGAGCCACAGCGCCATTTCTAGCTTTTTCTGCGTATGTGGTGCTGAGGAATCGAGCCCAGGGCCTCGTGCATGCTAGGCCAGCGCTCTTCCACTGAGCCAGCTCCCAGCCCTGCTCCAATACAGTCAAATTTATCCATCTTTTCTTTGTCACTTTCTCTCTTTCTTCTTTCTTTCATCAAATGCTTTTCATCAGCATCTGGAGGTCTGCTGTCCTTTAACAAGAGTTAACCCTCTTATCCAAAAGTTTCTTCATTTCCTGCCCTGCACCTGGTGAACGTGGGCTTGGGGAGCGGAGGGGAGGGCCTGAGCAGCGTCCAGCTCGGCGTCCAGTCCAGGGCCTGTGACAGTGCTGGGGCTGGGAGGGGTCCGCCGGTGTGGACTAATCAGGAGAGGGTGCTGGGGACACAGCCTGAAGTCTGTGAGGGACGAGACACGAGGAGGGAGGGAATGGCGCTCTCTCGTCTCTGCCGCTCTCCCCTGGCCTGTCCCTCAGGCCCCCCTGCGGTTGGAGGAAGCACTGAGGGCAGAGGCAGCAGGGGCGGCCAGGGGTCTTGCAGGAGCAGGGGGCTGCGTGAGGGCCCACAGGGGGCAGGTCAGGCAGCACTGCGGGCTGGCCACGGGTGGGAAAGGGCACTGGGGGGGGCGGCCCTGGCATGCGCCGGCTGGCAGAGCCCTTTGCCCCAGCCCATCATTACAGTCGGGTCAGCAGGGGCAGTGTGTGGTTTGAAGTTCAGGGCAGTAGGCGCTGTGCAAACATGGATGGGCTGAGTCATAGTGGCGCTGCACCCGTGGAAGGCAGGGGCCGCACACACCTGCGGGCTCTCCACAGGCTCTGGCCAGGGAGGGGTTCCAAAGGTGAGAGGGCCGGGCCTGGAGGGGAGGGTGGCCCCAGTGACGGCCTGGAGGGAGGAAAGCTGAGCACTGATGCCCAGGAGGGAGGCCACAGCCCAGCGCCTGTCTCCCTGTGAAGTCAGGTAAGGAGGCGGCTGCCCTGCTTGGAGCTCCCTGCTGGGCTCCAGCCCCAGGCCCCTTGCGGCTCCCTGCTGGGCTGCCAAGTCTCACCCTGTGCACCTCTGCGCAGGGCGGTGCTGGGCAGTGACGGGCAGAGGCTCCTGACGGGGAAACAGAAGCATCCTGTGCACGCGTTCCTGTCTGAGCTACTTAAAAGCCAAGGGCTTGTCTCCAGCCACCCCCAGCCTTCTTCTTGGGGGTGTCGGGTTTGGATTCAAGCCTTGTACTTGCTAGGCAGGCACTTTACCACTTGAGCCGTGCCCCCCCCACCTTATTTTAATGTCACCAAGTGCGGAAGCTGTGTGACTGTTGCTGCGGTGGACAGGGTTTAAGGCCCAAGCAGCATGGACGGAGGCGGCGAGGGAGGCTGGGCCCGCAGCGGCCAGGTGTGGAGGCTCCGGCCAAGGGTGCACTTCTCCACATCTTGTGAAGTCTCCTGTGGCAGCCCACACGTCAACATGGAATTCTACCATAGCCAGAAGTCTGGCCAGGTGCCGGTGGCTCACGCCTGTAATCCTAGCTTCTCAGGAGGCTGAGATCTGAGGATCGAGGTTTGAAGCCAGCAGGGGGAGGAAAGTCAATGAGATTCATCTCCAATAAACCACCAGAAAAAGCTGAAAGTAGCGCTGTGGCTCAAGTGGTAGAGCGCTCGCTGTGAGCATAGGAGGCTCAGAGACAGCGTCCAAGTCCTGAGTTCAAGCCCCAGAAATGGCATGAGAGTGAGACATCTATTATACTGAGCTGTGAATGCCATTCCACTAAAGCTGCTGAACTTGCACACATCAAGATGAGTGGCCATGGCTGGGCTTCCTAACCCTGCTTCCCCAGCGACCTCCCCACTGACCCCCCACTGACCTCCCTACTGATCCCCCACCGACCTCCCCACTGACCCCCCACCGACCTCCCCACTGACCCCCCCACCGACCTCCCCACTGACCCCCCCACCGACCTCCCCACTGACCCCCCACCGACCTCCCCACTGACCCCCCACTGACCCCCCCACCGACCCCCCACTGACCTCCCCACTGACCCACCACCGACCTCCCCACTGACCCCCCCTCCGACTTCCCTACTGACCCCCCACCGACCTCCCCACTGACCCCCCCACTGACCTCCCTACTGACCCCCCTCCGACCTCCCCACTGATCCCCCACCGACCCCCCCACTGACCCCCCACTGACCCCCCACCTTTCCATGCCAGGAGGATGGCCCTTCTCCCCGCGACCTAGCGTCAAGCCACCCCCCTCCTGCCCATGTCCTCCGGGAGGGAGGCCAGAGGCCAGGAGACAGACCTCAGCGGTGCTGGACCTGAGGCCTGGGAGCTGGCCTCAGAAGTGCAGCCCGCTGGTTTGTCGAGGGCAGTGCTTCTGTGAGGCACCAGCCTCCATAGCTTGGTGGGATTGTGGGTGATCTTGTCTGTAACAGACACGCACGTGCACACATGCACACTGTGTGCTCCTTAATCCAGGACCAGGAGCAACACAGTAACAGAGACCTCGCCGTGGAGCTGAGGTTTGGGGCACCGGGCACCTGTAGCCTTCTGCCAGTTTCAGATCCCAAGGTTCCATTCACCAAGGTTTGATTGTACTTGTGCAAGGAAGTAAGGCACACAATTCAACATGTGACAATATTTTGTATACAAGTGACAGATGGCCTTCTTATTCTGGGGAGAGCTAAACAGCCTACAATTTGCATAAACCTAAGCCTACCCTCAGGCTCCCACACAGGTTAGGTTGGAATCTGAGTTCCTGTTACGCCTGGACTGATGGACCTTTCCAGAAAGCTCTCAGTGATCTGAGAGTGTATTGGGAGAAGGCATTGCAAACTCCCAATCCCTTCCGGGTCTTTTTGGGCTCTCACAACACACACTTCCTACCTAAGAAAGCAAAGCCGGTAGCTATACATGTTTGCGCATGCCCGCAGTTCCTGGGACTAGGGAGACAAGCTGGGGATCCCTTGAGTCCATTGAAAGCCAGTCTGGACCCCCATCCAGACAGCCTCTGACAGAGCACCTGGCAGCTTCTCGGGAGCGGTGGTGTTTTAGGGGGGATATGCCCCCCTGGGGCCGTGGAGGAGGCAGACAGAGGCTTTTGGTCTCCTGTTGAGGTTTTATTTGCACTTGTCAGGCAGGCGCTCTGCCACGTGGGCCACACTCCCAAGTTGCTTTTTGGATGGTGTCTTGGGTTGCCTGGGCCTCGGCCTTCCTGTCATGTTCCCTGCATAGCTGAGAGGTCGGTTATAAATCACCACACCCAGCTTTTTGCCCAGGCTGGCCTCAGATCTCTGCGCCTGGAGAGGCTGGGGCCGCAGGTGTGAGCGGCCCGCTCAGCTGCCAGGGGACCGGTCCACGCCGAGGTGTGCGTGGGGCCGCAGGTGTGAGCGGCCCGCTCAGCTGCCAGGGGACCGAGGTATGCGTGGGGCCGCAGGTGTGAGTGGCCTGCTCACACCGAGGTGTGTGTGGGGCTGGTAGGAGTGCTGGCCTCTCCTCGTGGAGAGACGTGGCCCAGAGCTGTGCTGCCCACTGGTGGAGCCGCTCCCTGTCCTGTGCTAGACCTGGTTTACATCGCGGTGCCCTAGAAACAAGGGAGGGTGGCTAGGGTATTTTGAGCTGGAGAGCCCTCCGTGCGGCTGGATGGGCGTGGCCTCTGGCTTGTGGTGAGCCCGTCCCAGCACCCCCTGTGTCTTCGTGGGGTAGGGTGGGGGCCTGGGAGCCCCTCAGCCCGGCCTCCCCTCAGCCCGGCCCCAGGCCCCACCATGTCTCTGGCTGACGGTGCTTCTCTTATTCACTTACTGCAGGCATCATGTGGCTCGGAGTCCTCCTGGCCTTGGTGCTGGGCTTGGCTGTCTACTACTGGTTCACCGCCAGGGACAAGGAGGAGAGGCTGCCCCTCGGGGATGGGTGGTGGGGGCCAGGAGCTCCGCCCTCGGACACAGAGGACCAGAGCATCCGGCCTTTCAAGGTGGAAACTTCGGATGATGAGATCAATGTGAGGCCCCTTCTGTGCAGGGCGCTGGGGGCTGCAGGGTGGGGGGGCTGCAGGATGGGGGGCTGCAGGG